ATTCCTCTTTCCCTCCCTTCCCTCCCCTCCTCTCTCGCTCTCCCTCCCGCCGGCCCGGGCCAGCCGAGGACTCCCAAATCCCGCGGCTGGCTGGCACACTGCGGGGCACCGTCAGCTCGCTTCACCCCGCGGTGGTCCTCCGGCTCTCTGCTCGGTGGCTCCCCACATCTCGTTTCCATCTCCTCCTCCTCCTCTTCGGGCGAGACTGGTCGGCTCTGCTCGACTCGCACAAGTGAGGCGATTTCTCCCTTTTAACGGATGGAATTTTGGGGTTAAGTTTTCTTAAGCTCCGGTCGCGCTCCGTCGGGGGGCGGGGGTAGGCGAGAGCGTAGCCGCATTTCGGTGCTCGAGTCCCCGCCGCTGAGTTGAACACGTCACCTCGGAGCTTGGGTTTAAACTATACCACGGAGGGGGATTTTTGTGGTTTTAATGCGACCGGTTTTAGGAAATGTGTCCAGAGGTGTGCTGGCAGCGGAGTTAGCCTTAGCTTTAGCTCGCTACGTGCTAGCACGGGCCACCTTTTTTAAAGCAGGAAACTGAGCTGAATTCTTCATGAGCTTCTCCAAGTGAGTCTGTGTAATATATTAAGCATTTCGAGTCAGTGGAAATGTGCCTTTTGTTACGTTGCGACAAGGTTCAGCTACGTTGTGACAAGGTTCACCTGTTTAAAGGGGCGCAAGGGGGCCCGGTTCAAAGGTCAAGTGGTGGCAATTAGTCCTCTTATGTTTCCTGGATGCTGAGGTGACCCTAGTTGAACTGCAGCCAAGGGGATGAAAGGCAGCTGGCTGTCAGACAAGAGTCCTTGGATGGCATATAGAGCTAGATAACCTCACATTTTAGGGACATCTATGGTTTTGGACCAACCCTGAAGGCAACGCATGCAATAGAGAAATAGATGAAGAAGAATCAGTCAGTTGTGTTAAGTGGGGTGCCATAATTTCAGACTGACGCTTATAGATGAATGGATACATAGCAACCTTGATTTTAGACTCTCTCCGAAGGCATCACCTGACTTGAGACACGGTTAGGCAAACGGGATGATGGATGGATAAGTTGAAAATGGAACGCGCACGTTTGGAACGTGAACAAAGTTTTGCCGCAGCCCGCCGTGATGAGATCAGCGAGACTAGCGCACAGTACCATAAGAAGAAGGAAATTGTGATCGGGTCAACTCTCAAAGGGAGTGTTTGAGGGAGTTTTAAAATGGTTGGGGTGATGCAAGAATAACAAGTAACTGCTCCACTTCAGTAATTATTCATCATCATCAAAATTATTGAAAGGGCACGCACAGATACTCTCCATTGGGTGTCTGTGCTATGTGCCCACCTGGAATGCTGTTTACTGTTTTGTATTTGTAACGTTGCATCAATGTTTGAAATTGTTTCCAAGCGGGGATGCTGGTGTCTGCGCTGATACCAACACACTAATACCACTTTACCAGGCTGGCATATGACATCCGGGCAGGTGAACTAGGAGGCGTGTCGGCTCCGCAAACGTGGATGACAACACTTTGTTAGCTGACTGCGGATTATGCAATGAAAAACCGATGCAAGTGTTTCAGTAAAAAAACAAATAATTCAATAAAAACAAAGCTTTTTACCTGTGACCGGTCCAGTTCAACTAGTCGCTCGTCGTCCATGTTGCCTTCACGTGTTTCAGACACGCGCGCATGCGCACTAGTTGATCACAGACGACGTGGACTGCAACGTCAAAATGTAAATGAAAACTTTATTTGTACGACAAATTTTATTTTACAGGTTTCCTTCGGTTTACGATTGAATCTAATTTGTACGGCGGCGACATAACGCGCCCTGAGTTACAACTAATTTAATACCCCCACCTACCCCCCACCTCCGCTCGGCCTCGGGTGGCTCGACTGTGAGAAGAACATGCTTTTGCATTTCAAAATGTCAGTCATGACAAATTGTTACTCTCAAAGTGAAACGCTTACTTGTGAGATTGCTCGATAATCACGTTCACGTGACTGCCTTCCCTCGAAATCTGTGTGCTGTCATCTTTTTTGACACGGTTAAGCCAGACAGTGTTCACTGGTGGCTTAAGGGGCCTGTCAGTTCAAAGGTCAAGTGACGCTAATTAACTCCCAAGTTTTGTTTTCAGGATGCGGCAGTGACCCCCCTCGGCCCCCCCGTTGACCCACGGCGGGGCGTCCTCGGATGACAAATTAATGATACTCGTGCATGCGCGCGCCTTGGAACGCGTCTTTTGTCTTGACTCCGTTCCTCACTGCGCGTTATCAGCGCGCTCGGCTTTAATTTATTAGGCACAATGGCTCGTCGCCATGGCGACCGTCTGCTTATTATTCATGCCGCTGCACATATTTACACCTGGAAGCCGCGCCACCGTCTCGACTGTCGCTGGAGGCCACGCAAAGTGCAAAATGTCACCGGCGGTGCGAAATGGTGCATTCTCGACACTCGTTGGACATTTTCGGATCTGTTTCACGGAACAAACCCAAGACATTTATGCTACGCTAACGTCAACAAAGAGCGTCTAAACAGAAAGAGCTGCTTTTTCAGTACTCTGGGATACAAATTGCAAATAACTGGTTCAAAGCTCTCGTGTTTGAAGAATTTCCCTTAGTGGCCCTTCCATTCTTCCATTTTTCTGTTTGTCACCCTCAAATGAAAAAATTTGGACACGCCCGTTTTAGGACATTTGTAACAATCGGTCAACTGTGCTTTAGATGTCCTTGAAACAATGACAGTCAAATTGTCTCTTTCAGGGTCATAAATTGTCAGGGGAAAGAATAATTCCAATTCCGAATTGAACTTTATTCAAAATGCTTCTTTCAGACAAGTCAGTTTCCCGTGACCTAAAATGTTGTAAATGGAGCAGATGATTCGTCTTTTTCCTCATCCTCGTATTGCGAGGCTAAGGTCGTCACCCACCAAATGGTAGCAAAACGTGTGACGCTGTGAAAAAAAAAAAAAAATTGCATTACCGGTAAATTCTTTCATTGTAAAATGCAGCACTGGCGCTATAAATAGAGGACTGTTGACACTCTCTGGCGTGGTCGGTCTCTTTATTTCTTTTGCGTGCGTCCATCACAAGTCGTTAGCCGCAGTAAAGCGTCCAAATGAATGATAAGCGAGTGCCAATGGACCGCCAAGGTGCTACTTCAGCTCACTGCTGCTTTGCTTAATCATTTTCAAAACGCCGTTAAGTGTTTAGTGACGGGAATGCCCTTGCTGTCTTGAAAAAGACCACCTGAATGTTACCACATTATCAGTCAATATTAGACGTTCCTTCCTGCGTTTGTTTTCCACGACTGGTGGGCATAATTCGCCCCCCAAAATGACTTTTTTTTTTGGAGAGAGAGAACAATAAATTTTTGTGACTAAAATATTTAAAGAAATATTAAATTGGAAATACCAAAGTTTTTGCATTGCGAAATTAGGATTTCTACAAAAAGATAAACATATTCGATGACGTATGCTCTAATATTTTTGGGGGAAAATGCAATCTTGGAAGAAAGTATCACATGTGATTTTATATATACAGTCAAACCTCGGTTTTTGAACGTCTCTGTTGTCGACCAAATCAGTTTTTGACGAGAAATTTCGAGTTTTTCATGCCTCGGATTACGACCGGAAATCGGTTCTCGACCAAACTGAGCGCACTTGAATGCGCCACTTGACGCTTCTCGCCTTCCTTACACGAGGAACTGACACTTCCTCGGGTCGATGAGGAAGTGACACTTCCTCATGTAGTGTTCCATTGTAAGCGGACGTGTTCAATAAAGATTTTTTTTTTTTTTTTTTTTTACAAAAGACCATGTTTCGGTTTTCGAACAAATCGGTTTTTGAACAGCCTTCTGGAACGGATTATGGTCGAAAACTAAGGTATGACTGTGTGTCTATATATATATGAGTAGGTAATGGATAGAAAAGGAACACTTTATATGAAATGCACAGATTAAAAGCAAAATAATTTCAAAACAAACACAACACCAGGGGAAAAAAATATCAGAACATATACTGTATGTTACGAATGCAAATTGTAGAAATTGACAACAAAACTTAGAAAAAATGTTTTTTCGAAAAAAAATGACAAATATTTGAACAATATGAAAAAATGTGTGCGTGCGTGCGTGCGTGCGTGCGTGTGTGTGTGTGTGTGTGTGTGTGTACATACACACACACACACATAATGTATCACCACTGTATCGCGCATATGACATCGCTAAACTGTTTCATCCCTCCTGCGTACATTTTAAAACTTCCCCCTTTTCAAGAAGCAGCCCTTCGGCACTTTGAACCAAAACAAAAGAGTCGGCGCAGACGGAAGTGAGTCACACTTCAACCAAATCTATTCTTAAGGACAGATTATTTCACGTCACGTCGGCTGTCGGTCCACTTTTTGATCAGAGCTTGTTATGACGTCGAAAAATAGATGAGTTATGCAAGTGACTCTGCTTTGACCGCACGATGGGGGGGGGGGAAGAAAAGTGGGCCAGGAAGCATCAAAAGGCTCCGAATTACACTGCGGATGTGTCGCGAGGAGGTAAAATAGAGCAGACCCTTGAATTTGACTGCGGTTGTGGGGGGGATTACAGTAAAATAAGGTATCGCTTCTCATTTTTGTTTTGTTGGGATCACAGACCGCGTGGTGCTGGGCACAGCGTTATGGCTCAGACGCTACAGATGGCGATCCCCAACTTTGGCAACAACGTCCTGGAGTGTCTGAACGAGCAGCGTCTGCAGGGTCTCTACTGTGATGTATCCGTGGTGGTCAAGGGACATGCCTTCAAGGTTCAACTTTTTTTCTTCTTAAGTCGCAGAGCAATGCCGTGTCTTTTATTCACTGTGAAGATGTCAAGCTCATGCTGGTTTCTGCAATTACTGGTCAGGGAGGAATTGGTTTCAACAGTCAAGTCATTTTGTGGTCCTCATGACCAAAATTACACTTAGCCCCACTCCCGGCCCCCACAGTCATGGGTCCTTGGTCCCACTAAGTTTGCGATTTATTTTATTTTATTTTATTTTATTTTTTTTGCACCGTTGTAGTGTTCGATTGTCATTTGGTGCATAATTCCGCTCTTGGTCACTAGATGGCAGCACCCTTTGACACTAAATTTGAAAAAGGAAGCAAGAAAAACAAATTATTCCAACTTCAGCATTTTTGATGAAAACACTCCTCTTTAATCCTGTTTAATCCGCCGACAATAAAAAAAAGAAAATATTTAAATCAAAATTCTAATGCAATAAAAATTAAAATACTGACAGTTTCACCAAATAAAAACCTCTGATCAAATTATTAAATACTCTATTTAAAGAAAGAAAATGCAATAAAATATCTTTCAAAAAAGCTTTATTTTAAAAATTAAAAAGAAATGCCGCAAATGAAATACAAGAAAATGGAAAAAATGCTGGAAAGAAAAAAAAAAATACAAAACCTAAAATATTATATGATGACCACCCAAATCACAAAACAAATCCAACAATCTCAGAGTCGAGCACAATCGCCTGGGTCGCCCCCCATCATGTTTGGTCGCTCTTCAGGAAATGTGCAATTATTGGTTTTCAACTCGTTGGCCTTTCCAGTGCGAACTCGGCGAGAAGAGTGTGCCTGCTGCAGAGTCCGCATGCTCATTTTCCCAGAGTTCACTCGACCAAATCGTTTTGTTTGACGACGTGCGGTCGGGCTTAATTAGTCCCTCAGCGATTGCCGCGCCATTCAATTGCTGAGATAAGAAACGAGAGCGCCGCAGCCGTTTTTAAATGTTTTCCAGCGGCGACAGATTGTCCGCACACTCTCCCGTCTCGCATCTTCATCGGCGTTTAATAAATAAAGTTAGAAGGCGTCGTAATTAACCCTCCGGGGCAGTTTGATTCCCATCAAATGAACACAACAACAAAATGGAATTTTTCTCACAATGCTCACTGAAACAACTTTAGTTTCTCATCGAGCATTGCTTTATTTTTGTGGTACAATAGAATTATGGAGGGGGAAAAAAAACAACATACCCTGCACAAACTCGAGATGTGCCGGATGTCACACTGCAGTCAACTTTGGTCGAATGCGTGCAGGGTACCATGAAATCTGGCTCACCTGACAACGTTGAACCAAAAGTTAGTTGCCCTCTAGAAATCGAACCGTTTCGCTATTCACATGAAAAAGATGCGTTTCTCAATTTTAGGACTGCATCCAGCACAAGGTCTTTGCAATTAAATTTTGTCGGCTTGATGCCGCCCGTGTCCTGAACACTGGACCAAAAGTTGCCTTGTAAAAACGAGCTCTTCAAGTATACCGGTGCCGGTCAGAAGGAAAACTGGAAATAGTTTGCCACTTTTCCAGGGGCCGCTGCTAACTAAATTGCATCCATGGTTGCCCTTCCCAGGCCCACCGCGCGGTGCTGGCGGCCAGCTCGTCGTACTTCCGCGACCTGTTCAACGCTGGCGGCAAAAGTTCGGTGGTGGAGCTGCCGGCGGCTGTGCAGCCGCAGAGCTTCCAGCAGATCTTGGCCTTCTGCTACACGGGCCGCCTGAGCATGAACGTGGGAGACCAGTTCCTGCTGATGTACACCGCCGGCTTCTTGCAGATCCAGCAGATCATGGAGAAGGGCACGGAGTTTTTTCTCAAGGTACACGCGGGGGGGCAAACGGGTGGATGGGAGCCACTTGGGAGTGCATGTTAACTTGCTGGACGAAAACACAGTGCAGCTCAGCCTCTGGATAGCCGACGTCGTGGCTCGCGATATCCTTTCGTCAGTGCGTCAGCCTTAGCGAAGATTTTGCAAGCCTACGTCAAATTAAATTGGGTCATGAGAGAAATATGACATTGGACTACACAAGTCTTCAAATGTAATTTATTTCCCTGCACCATAATTTCCGGATCATAAGCTGCGACTTTTGTCACACGCTTTCAGATCTGCGGTTTATTTAATGAAGCGGCCTATATAAAGATTTTTCTAACGGCCGCCAGGGAGCGTTCGAGCATAAAAGGTAAAAGTGAGACAAGTTGATATGTACGTGTCGAGAAGACGCTATCATCTGTCACACTGGAAACAACCGGCCATAAGAGGGCGCAGTTGGCCTGTTTCGGGTTGCACTGCATTGACCAAGGATTGTGATCAGGTGCACTCTATAGTCCATAAATTACGGTATGCTTTCTTCAAAGTAAACATACATTGTCATGAAAGTTTACACAAAAGCAGAGATGGTAGAAAGCCTAATGAAGGAATGGTCGACCGAGTGTTACGGCAAGCGAGGATTTTTTTCAAAAAAAAATATAAAAAGCCTTGACGGCGATCAGTGACTTTTGTGTTTTTTTAAACCAGTCCTGTTAACGCTGTTTTACCGGCGTGGTGCTGCCGCGTCACGGGCACTAATTGCAAAGAAAAGTTGCAATGTGGGCACGTGCGGCTTATAGACAGGTGCGGCTTATGTGTGTACAAAAAGGTTTTTTTCCTTTCAAAATGTAGTGGGTGCGGCTTAGAATCAGGTGCGCTCTATAGTCCATAAATTACGGTATGCTTTCTTCAAAGTAAACATTTGATTTCAACATGTCGCTGATTTTTCCAACATTGGAATTAGTCAAAGTAGATAAAAAATTGCATGTTAATTGATTGTATTTGAGTTGTCATTGATATATTTTAAATTTGAAATACAGTCAAACCTCGGTTTTCGAAAGTCTCGGTTCTCGACCAAATCGGTTTTCGACCAAAAATTTTGATTTTTTTTTTTTTTAAGAGTGTGGTTTCGGTTTTCAAACAGCCTTCTGGAACGGATTATGGTCGAAAACCGAAGTATGACTGTATTATAAAAATGGTGAGAGAGTTGAACCGGCGATGGCTCACTCTTTGGTTTATTTGGGAATCGGGCAGGTCTCATCCCCGAGCTGCGACTCGCAGGGTCTCCACAGCGAGGAGACGGAGCCTCAGAGTCCCGTCACTCAGACGGCGGGAGGGGCAGGCGGTACCCCGGTTGGCGCCACGGCTGCCAGACCCGCCGCTTGTTTGACGCCGCTACCCCTTATGTCCAAGGTCAAGACGGAGCAGGCGGCCACCACCCCTCAATCGCAACAGGTGACCCCGGCCTTGTTCCGCTTTTTCTGTGGGGTTACATTTGTACCTGAACGAATACATTTTTCTTTGTCCTCAGCAGGAGGGCTTCCCCTATTCGGTGGTCTGCATTCCGGTGGCCAAGCGACTGTGGGAGGGGGGTAACGGAGGAAGCGCTTCGGCTGGCGCCGCCCAAAGAAAGGCGGCACGCTACTCTTCCTCCTCGTCCTCCTCCTCCTCATTCACCTCCAGCGGCGCTACGCAGGATTCCGCCGGGCGGGGACCTGCCTCTGCATTACTGGCGGGAGGCACCACTAACAATAATAACAACAACAACAGCAACAGTAACAACAATAATAGTAATAATGGAGGGACCCCCGATGGCACGAGTCCCGGCGCGCTCAGCCTGTACACGAGCGACTCGCCCATCAGCTATCACGACGACGAGGAAGAGGATGAAATGGCCGAGGAGAGCGCCGAAGAGCAGTACAGGCAAATCTGCAATATTTACACCATGTACAGCATGCTCAACGCCAACGCCACAGGTCAGAAGTGCAACACAATGCTTCTCAGGGTTCCCACGCACAAGGATGGAATTTGATTCGACCAATTTCCGGTTCTCACAAGTATGTAAAGTTGATTTAACTTGTGCCCCGAACGTGTTCGATTGTGTGTTTTAACGTGACAAGTTTCACGTTCAAATGTGACAAGTTTGGCTTTCAAAACAAAACGAAGTGATTCCGGTTCAGCCCTATACAAATATGGATTCATGGCCTTATTTATTTTTTTACAGCATTAAAGAAGGGCAGCATTGTTACTGAGAGGGTATCTTTGATTTAAAAGCTACATACATACAACTTTCCCAGTTCCCACCCCCCCCCCAAAAAAAAATCTGCATTTTTCTCCTCTGTTGTAAAGTGAAACAAAATACCAAGGGTTGTCAAACAGTCTGACTATAATTCGTCCTTTATTGTTGTTCAGTGTTAAGGGACACCAAAAAAACCCCCATATATATATATATATATAATGTTTTGGGGTTTCATATTGGAATATCGGAATCGGGCCCTAATGTTCACATTTAACACGATCATTTTCATGTTATAACATGATCAATTTTACATTTTAATGTTAGCATTTTCATGCTCTATCCTGGTGAATCTAAGATTTTAATGCAGTAATTCTCATGTTAAAATGTGAAATTTGACTTTGTGTTGAGGTCACTGGTGGAGGTTTTTTTTTTTTCTTCTTCTTCTTCTTCCAGATTTTGTGAAATGTGTAGGAACCCTGAGATTGAAATGCCTTTTTTTTTCCCCACAATTTTTTTGCTCAGCCCTGACGTCTCGTTTTGACCCGACAGTACCCGGTGAGAAGGTGGAAGCGCTGCCGGACGCGGGCGCTGACTCAGGGCGCCGAGGCGGGCGCCCCCGGCAGGAGCTGGCGTCGCTGCCGTCAGAGCTCATCAGCCAGATTGGCAACCGCTGCCATCCCAAACTCTACGAGGAGGGCGACCCGGCGGAGAAGCTGGAGCTGGTGAGCGGCACAGCCGTGTTCATCTCGCGGGCGCAGCTGATGAACTGCCACGTCAGCGCCGGCACGCGACACAAGGTTCTGCTCAGGCGCCTGCTGGCCGCCTTCTTTGACAGGTGAGTGACCGCGGCTCCGGTCGCTTCAACTTCCTGTTTGTACGTCAGAGCCATTTGGTTTTTTTGCAAAGTCAATTCAGTAAAAAAAATGTTCACCTTTCTTCCGAAACAACGCCACTTCAGTCTGGTGTCAAACCTTAATGTGGCTTTTGGGGATGACGACAGCAGTGTTGACATCTTGTCAACAACTTCATATCCATTTTTTTTTCCAAACACCTTTTTGTTGTCTAATTACATTTTATCGGTGCAAATTTGGTTTAAAAAATGTGTAACATTATTTCAATATTTAAATTAATATTTTGTAACTATGGTTGATTAAAAAAAAAAAAATGAATGTGTATTCCTTTTTAAATTATATTAAAAATGTATTTTTTAATTTGATCATGTCATCGCAAATTGGCTTATACATACATCTACAGTGTGTGTGTGTGTGTGTGTATATATATATATATATATATATATATATATATACACACACACACATACATATTTGATCCATTTTCAACCGTTTAATTAGAATGGGAATTTTATCGCTCTTATTTTTGCCAATTGTGCGCGCACAGGAGCACCCTGGCTAACAGTTGCGGCACGGGCATCCGCTCATCCACCAACGACCCGAGTCGCAAGCCGCTGGACAACCGAGTGCTGCACGCCGTCAAATGTCAGTTGCTCGCCGCGCGTCCGCCACCGCCGTGAACGCATCTCCCAAACGTCCCTTGCAACTTCTTCGTCCTCTTTGTCAGTCTACTGCCAGAACTTTGCGCCCAGCTTCCGGGAGAGCGAGATGAACGCCATCGCCGCCGACATGTGCACCAACGCTCGCCGGGTGGTCCGCAAAAGCTGGATCCCCAAACTCAAGCTCCTGATGGCCGACAGCGACGCCTACTCTTCCTTCCTGGCCGACAACGTCAAGATGGAGGCCGACGGGCTGGGCGGCGAGCAAGGCTTTGAGGGCGTCTCCCTGGAGGCGGCGACCGGGGGGAACGACAGCGGGGCCACGCCCACCGACACCCTCCAGGACGGCGGCGGGGGCGGAGGAGACAGCAGCACTTTGCTTTGAGTGAGTGAACGGACCGCCGGACGTTTGGGCGGACGGCAGGAGGGGGCGCGGCCGCTTTGTCGCCGCCGCTTCTGGTCTTTTTCTTCCTTTTCTAGCATCACTTCCTTCTGCTTTTTGCCGCTCTTCCCAGCCCACAGAACACAGCATGTACCAGAATACCCGGGACGGGAAGTGGGCTTTTCCTGTCTGCATGTAGCGCCAACGCGGTTCTCCTCCCGCCAAAATCGATCATGTATTACCATCGCCCCCCACCCCTCCCTTCATCGTGAATGTACGTGGGTTTCGTGTCGGCTTTGCACCGAAGAACAACTTGAGTTTGTTTACGTTTCCTTTCCTTTTTTTAAAATGTTTTTTCTTACATTATTCTGCTAAAATTGCAGCAGGATTTTTGGGAAGTGTTGCTGTGAGAACTCTTGAGTAATTGTCATTGGGAGCGCAAAAACTCCATGTAGCTAACGATGGTTCCAGAAGGTTTTTTTCTTGGGGGGGGGGGGGCGCTCAAAGTAGCCCACACAAAACAGCGAAGGAATGGCAATGTTTTTTTACTGTTCATCTCCACACTGAATGAACGTGCGACTTGTGGGGAAGGTTTTTTTTTTTCCTTTAAAATTCTTACATTTTGATTTCTTTTGAGTTTTTGTTTTTTTAGGCCCCAACAATTTAATGGGCCACCTGATTTAATCGGCCAAGGTTAGACCAATTAAAATCTTCTTTTTTTTTCCTTTTTTTGTTTGCAAATAACCACATTACAACAAACGCCGGATAATGACATTCAAACTTTTGCCCCATTCCAGAAAAATCGACAACAAATTCAGATGATTTTTGACGATTTTTCTCCCTGGTGTAGTTGAAACAAATTGTAAAACAGTCTGTTTGGTCTGTAATTCATATTTTTATTGTTCTAAGAGTTAAGCAACCAAAGAAGAATTTCTTTTTCGTTCATTGGCCAATTAATCGAAATCTGCTTCGGCCACAAAAAAAGTCCTGGTTGTTTGCTTTTATTTTTTTCATGTTGTTCTGTTAAATCTGCAGCAGTTTTTTTTTCAGTGTTGCTTTGAGAAATCATCTTGTCACTGGTTGGCAAAATTCCAAGTTGATTTAAAAAAAAAGATCGTTCATGCATTTTTGCCGGGGAAATATACCCCTTTCAATCGCCCCTTTCACGCCAATTTGCACAGCGGTAGGGCCCGGCCCACATTTGTTCACCCTTATGCACAGAACGCAGTGTCGAAACGGCGACGATTCCTTTCAACACGAGAGGAGTGCGAGCGGCGGGTATTAAACCTGGCACTCCGTTTCAACCCCCCCCCCACCCACAATAAGCGGCAATTTGGAAATCACGCTCGACGCTGGCGTCTAAAATGGCAACAATTGCTTTTGACACGACATGAGCGGCAAATGTCGGGTCGCCCCTTGAGCTGACTGGTCCCCTTTCAAAGCAGTCGGCAGCTCCTCCTCTCGAAATGGCGCCATTTGCTTTGAGTGCGCCACAAGTAGTTTGACTTTGCACCCCTTTCACACGCAGATGCCGTTTCTGCCTTTTACGCCAGGCACCCGAGTTCTCGAATAGCAGAAAAGGGCCACTTCCACTTGCAACCGTCATGCCCCCCCCCCTCCCCCCAGCAGGTGATGTTCGCCGTGATGGGTGGTGGGGGGGGTGGTCGCATGAGACAGGGAGTGCCGTACGCAAATTTTTGTTAATGTTGCCATGGTAACCAAATTATATACAAAAACTCCCTCTTCCACTAAACCTTTGAATGTCATCAACATTTTAGCACCTTATTCCCAACTGGGCATTGCGTTCGAAAGCGTAGAACTGTTTGGCGGTGGGAGGAGTCTCTCGAGTTGACCTTTTATGGCGCCGTCCAATCGAGCCCAGTGTTTTATATCAATCGATTCTGAAGTGTTGTCTTAAAGCTAAAGCGTTTACAATTCTTTTTTGTTCTTATATGAGAGGCTTTATGGGTTGGGAAATTACTCAGACCCCCCCCCCCCCATC